AGGGCATCAGTGCCCCGAGAGCCTGTGACCCCCCCACACACTCAACCTCCAGCCCAGACCCCTGCCCAGCCCAACCAACCTCTCACCTCAGTGCTGGGGAGACCTGGCCTGACAGGTGATAAAGGACCCCCAGGCTCAGGGCCCCAAGCCCAGCTCTGTGTTGATTAACACCGCCCCGCCCTGTGTCATGACCCCCCCTTCTGCATTCCCTGTAGTGTTCCCTGTGGCCCCCCAAGAACATGAACTCCACCAGGGCCGGGGTCTGTCTCTGCTGCTGAAGCCCACCTCCTGGAACAGCGCCTGCACACAGCATGCGCTCTGTAACACCGTGCTCCTGGCTGGCGGCATTTCTTTGGTGGTGGGTGGGGGACCATCTTTTAGAAATGGGTGGGGTGGAGGAGAGAAGGGAAGAAGCAGAGAACAGGGCAGGGAGGAGGCAGCCCCTCCTGCAGGTCTGGTAGGTGGAACAAGGGAAGGGAAGTTGCAGGTCAGTCTGAACTTGAAAGAGGCGCTGGCCAGGCAAAGGGCCGGGGGAGGGGCTGCCTAGCGGTGGGAAATCTGTGCTTGTCCTCAACTGTGGGGCTGCAGGGCAGACAGAACACACAGGACCTCAGCAGGGAGGCAGAGGAGAGGTGGGCAGCTCCTGTCACCACCTAGCCAGCTAAGGGTCAGGAATTTGTGCGGCACAGTGGGGCGGCAGGAGTGCTGTCAGTGGGGGGTCGCTCTGGCTGCCAGAGGGGGAGGGGCAGGGACAGTGAGAGGGTGCTTACAGCAACCCCCCAAGGCCCTGTGCTGAAGGATGGAGGACAGGGGAGTGGGGGGCTGGCAAGGAAGTGGGGTGGCAGGGAGGCGTCAGTGGCTGCAAGGGTCCCCCCACAAGGGGACGCTCAGAGGCAGCCCGGGATACAGACAAAAATGGTGTGGTTTTTGAGCCCATTTAGAAATGCTGTGGCCACTCCTATGGCTGGCTCAGCTGTGGTATTCAAGATGATTTTGAGCTCCCACCTCCCTTTCTCTGCTGTTGGATTCTAACTTCCATGCTAGCTACTACTGAGGTTCCAGTAAGCCTTCCTTTCATGTGGTTAGCAGCGGCTGTCCAGAGCGAGCACCGCTGGATCCTGGCTGTCCCCAGCCGAGCTCAGGGCCTCGGCACAGGGACAGGGCTGCGTGTTTCAACCACCTCCCCTGAGGTCAGGCTGGGAGGGCGAGGGAAGGATGTGCCCAGAGGACACCAGGCCTGCAGGGTGAGAACAGGCCGTGGGGAGAGGGCAGGCAGCGAAGGTCAGAGAGGCCAGAGCAGAGGGCGCAGAGCTTTGCCCTGACGTTCACAGGACGTGTGCAGAAGCTGACGTGGGTGTGCGGGTGTTTAACGCTCAACTCCAGCACCTGGGAGTCACTGCTGGTCTCTGCAGTAGATGTGAGCACATCCTGTGATCTCCTCTAAGGGGAGGAAATCAGGATGGCGGGACCTCGAGCGTGAGCCTCAGAGCCCCCTTTCCTGCAGTCACATCAATGTCCTGCCGCCCCCCGCCACGGGAGGAAGGGGAGCTTCTGTAGTTTTTTGTTTTGTTTTGTTTTACATACAGTATACTATGCCTCGGCTTTGTGAAAGGTTTGAAGAAAATGAGCCCAGAGAAAGCAAATGTAGTTAGAACGCATCAGAAGTGCACAGACCATTGAGAACTCATCCCCGTTCTAGGAGGAAACCTGTAACTTCCCCAGAGGGGCTCTGAAGCCACAGCACGTTCCCCTCTGAGTCTGAGAAAGAAGCGAAGCGCGACGAGGCCGTCAGCACTCCGGACAGCTCCGAGCCCGGCACACCGCCCCCGCCTCCAGTCTCCTCCTCCAGGGCCCTCTCGCCTGCTTTCTGTGGGGTTCATGGGGTCAGGTGCCTGAACCAGCCCAGAGAAAGTCTCTTCCATGTTGGTGGGGGGCCAAGATGGCCAGGCTTCCCAGATCCCCACACAGAAGGTCGGATTAGAATCCCCCACACCTGCCCTCAGGGTCCCAGACTCACCCAGGCAGGCCGGCGGCTTCCATGACGTTGGCCAGGGTCACATCGTTGGACCACACATCGTACTGCCACTTGCGCAGGCCCAGGACCCCGCAGAGGACCCTGCCGGTGTGCAGCCCCACACGCATGTTCAGGTCCACCTCAGTGGCCTCGGCCACGGACCTGCAGCAAACAGACACAGGACGTGGGGATGGGTCCCCGCTGTCTGCTCCCGGGACGCCACGAGGACAGGAAAGCCGGGCCTTGTGCTGCCCCTGCTGTGAGGCTGGGCATGGTGCCCAGAGGAGAAGGAGCATGGGGGTCTCCTGACCTCATCAGCCTAACCCCTGAACTATGAACTGCTCCGGGCTGGCTCCCCGCAGCTCCCTGGCCACTGGCCATCTCACAAGGCATCACACCCCCCTTCCCCCCCCAACCCAGGGCAGCCCTGAAGGGAAATGAGCCCAGGATTTGAATCCCAGGACCCCAAGCCGTCTCTGTGCACCACTGCCTTGGGCAGGGCGCTCACCCCTGCTTGCTAGCCAGAGGCCCACATGAGAGCCACGGGAGCATCTAACAGTCCCAGGAGCCCTGGGAACAGGCAAGCTCTGACCCTGGGCCCCTGACTGAGAGGGTGGGCTGCAACCCCGCCTGCAGGGTGGCCCAAGGCTCTGCAAACCTGCCCTGAACAACAGATGGACTCCGTGGGCTGCAAACTGTGCCTCAGTCACTTGTGGGAGAAAACAAGACAAAACGTGCAGACACTGAAATCAGACTGCAGGCCCCAGTGCGCACCTCACCTCCCCAGCCACTCACGACCCTGGGCTCCAGCCCCTGCTGGGGACACAACAGCTCCAAGTCCTGAGGCGAGGCCCCGGGTGTGACCACTCTTGGAGGTGGGGGCAGCATCCCAGGAGCACTTGTGCAAGGTAACAGGAGGTGGCTTTAAAGGCTCCTTATAAAGAGATTCCCCGCAGTGGTGGAGGAGGGCTGTGCTCAGAAATCCTCTCAGGGGCCCCCGAGGGCGCCCCGCACGGTTCCTCCAACCCCACGACGCCCACAGTGAAGTGAGAGCAGGAGGCGCGCGACGCGCCTTTGGTGGCACAGTCAGAGCTCAGGGCATGCTCCACGGCCACCGTGACACCCTCTGATGCTGTTTTCCTGTATTTTCCACTTTTCCCCCAAAAGGCAGACGTTATTTTACTTTTAAAAAGTCTGGAACAGGAAGCAGCATTGGGCCTGGCTGGTGTGCTCCAAGGGACAGAAGTGCAAGGAGGCCTTGAGGGAGGGGCGGGGGTCAGCCTCGGCACCCCGGCCCCTCCCCAGCCTAGGGGTGCGAAGGCGGCCCTGACCGGCAGGTGTGTCAGTGGGACTCCCCAGACAGTGGTGACGTGCTGTAGCAAGAAGGCCAAGGAGGCCTAGTCGAGGGTAGGGGACACTGAAGGCCTGTGATTAGGACGTTGTCCGTGAGAAGGAAGGAGGGCCAGGAGACCAGGGTCACACAGGGCCGCACTGCCACCACCCTCCAGCAGCCCGACACAGACTACTCACCCTCAGTCCCTCCCAGCAGCAGGTGCTCACAGTCCAACCACATCTACACCCACAACAGAGCAGATGCCCCGAGCCTGTGAGCTCACGGCCAAATCTCACTCCTGCTCCAAGACTCAGGGCTGATTCACATGTCCACCTTGTTCAAATATGACACAGGCCCAGCCCCCATGCTGCCTCTTGGAAGCCCTCCCAGGTCCTTCACCAACGCTGACACGCAGCTCCTGTCTCCCGACAAGCCCGGTACCAGGCTGAGCACACTGGCGAGGTGCCCCCCGGCCCTGAACGCCCTGCTTCTGTACATGGTGCACAGGTGTGCGGACGGCTGCGGGCCCCTCACAAGGAGGCACAGCGAGCCTGCCGTGTGTTCCCAGCTCTGCAGTCTTTCTGTTTGGACCGTCTCTCTGTGCGTCCTTTCACCACATCTTCCTCACACAATTCCTGTAATATGACTTCTATGCTCCCAAATGGGCAACTGCATCAGCCCCCGGGAGCCCCGTCTCGCTGAACTGCACCCACCTCTCCA